GAGAGAGGGAGAGAAGACAGAGAGGAGAGAGACAGGGGAGAGAGGGAGGGAGGAGGGAGGAGGGAGGGAGGGAGAGAGGAGAAGAGAGAGAGAGAGAGAGAGAGAGAGAGAGAGAGAGAGAGAGAGAGAGAGAGAGAGAGAGAGAGAGAGAGAGAGAGAGAGAGAGAGAGAGAGAGAGAGAGAGAGAGAGAGCGAGAGAGAGCGAGAGAGCGAGAGAGAGAGAGCGAGAAGAGCGAGAGACCGAGAAGACATAGAGAAAGAAAAAGAGAAAGACAGATACAAGAGCAAGACAAACAAAAGGCAAGCGAGAGAGGCAAAGGTAGAGGCCGTAAATCCAGACGCCCACAGACGGGCGGTCCCCTTTATGCGCTTCAAGAGGGAGCGAGACGGCGGCGGAGGAGGGAGGAGGGGGAGAGGAGGAGAAGCAGGGGGAGGAGGGAGGGGAGAAAGAAGAAGGAAAAGGAGTGGGGAGGAGGAGGAGAGGGAGGGGAAGGAGGAGGAAGAGGAGGGGAGGGAGAGGAGAGGGAGAGAGGAGGTGAAGAGGTAGGAGGAGGAGAGGAGGGGGAGGAGGAGAGAGGAGGAGGAGGAGAGGAGGAGGGGAGGAGGGGCAAAGGAGGAGGAGGGAGTAAGTAAGGGAAAGGGAGGAGGAGGGGAGGAGGAAGAGGGGAGGAAGGATGGGGGAAAGACGAAGGAGGAAGGGGAGGAGGTGGAAGGAAGAGGTGAAGGAAGGGTGAGGAGGTGGGGGGGTGCGGAGGGAAGGAGATGAGATGAGAGGGGAGGAAAGAAAGAGGGGGGAGGAGGAGGAAACAGCCCGAAAAGTGGTTGTTTAAACTGAATAAACAAAGCAAGGAGATCCGTGTGCGTTCGGCGGCAGCGTCCAGAGCTTCGAACACGTTGATCTTTTACCAAATCAGAACAAAGGAAAGGGAAGGAGAGGAAGGAAGGGACATTATGACAATCACTTACAATCAGCAATCTCTATCTTTTTTCTTTCGTTAATTTACCTTTCCTTTCTCTAGAGGAAGAGACGCACGCACAGCACTATGGCCGCCAACATGTTCCGAACACGTCCCAGGTGATAGCAAGCGCATCCGGGTCTTTGGGTCAAATGGCGGAAAACAGATAAAATCACACTAGGGACAAAACCAAGAAAGGAGAATAGAGAAACCTCAGATAACAAGTCTTAAAGCCTAAACGAGGTGATAAGAGCAGGGAAAGGCAGTTAAGTAAGCGTAAAAAGAGAGAAGGGGAAAGAAAAACAAACATGAGAGCATTTCCGAGAGCGAGTGAAATGAGCCGTGAAGAAGGAAGACAAAAGGGTTGAGAACAAGGGAAGACGTCGAGAAGGAAAGCAGCAGAAAAGAGCAAAATAAGAAACAAAATTAAGGAAGACAAAACCGTTAAACTGCCGACAACAAAGGAAACGCGCAGGAAACACAAGAGTTAACACAGAGGAAAATAAAAAAAAAACACATTCGTCAAAGGAAGCCACAATAAAACATCACACATAAAGAAACAGAACAAAACCCCAACGATAAATAGAAAAATCCATGGAAACAGAACACGGAGATAACTCCTTCATCGAGACCTCAAACTCCTCCTCCTCCTCCCCTCCATCCTCCTCTCCTCCTTCACTCCTCTTTCTCCTCCTCTCCTCCACCTCCATCTTTCCTCCTCCGTCCTCCTCTTCATCCTCCATCCTCTTCCCTCCTCCTCCTCCTCCCACTCTTCTCGTCTCGTTCTCCTCCTCGCGCCTCCACTCATCCTCTTCCTTCTCCTCCCACTCCTCCTCCTCCTTCCACTTCTCCTCCTCCTTCTCCCACTCCCACTCCAGTCCCCCTCCCCTCCCTCGCAGATCAAGGAGACCCCATCCGAACAAGCGAGAACAGGGAAGGCGCATCCTCCTCCTTCCAACTGCCTCCCCTCCTCCTCCTCCTCCCACTCTCTCCTCCTCCTCCTCCTCCCACTCCTCCCTCCTCCTCCATCCTCCTCCTCCTCTCCTCCCTCCTCCTCTCCTCGGAGATCAAGGAGACCCCATCCCGAACAAGCGAGAACATGGGCGGCGCATCTTGTGTTAAACTGGACTTGCTGAGGACGAGGTGAGCGAGCGTTAAAGAGGGCAGACGGGTGGCGGGTCAAGGCCGGAAAGGTCACCAAAAAAGAGGGGTCAGAAAGGTCAGGGGTCAAGAGGATGGGAAGGGTGAAGAGGGGGAGGGGAGTAGGGATGAGGGATGGAATGAAAGTGGGAAAGGGGAAACGTGGAAAGGAGGGAGGGAGGGGAGAGGGAGGAGATGCAGTAGAGAGAGAGAGAGAGAGAGAGAGAGAGAGGAGAGAGATTGAGAGAAGAGAGAGGAGAGAGAGAGAGAGAGACAGGAGAGAGGAAGAGAGAGAGAAGAGGGAGAGAGGGTGGGAGTAGGAGAAAGAAAAAAGAGAAAGGAGCGGCAAGATAAACGAAAAGACAGAAAAAAATAGGGAAAGAAAGCTACATAAAAAAGAAAAACAAAAGTTCCTTTAAAAACCGACAAGCTTAATAAGAAAAAGGAACTCCAGTTGAAAAAGAAAAAGCCAGCGCGCCCAGGCCCTTCGCGAGCAACCCGACGGCGAGGCAGGAGGGGGGGGGAGGGGCGCCACTGGGCCCTTGCGTTGAGGCCAGAGGGCGGCGTCGTAAGGGCGCCGAAAACTGGCAAAATATAACAAATAAAAATAAGACAAAATCAATGATGGTGGAACAACATGGCGACGGCATGATGGAAGCGAAAGTGAACAAAAATAATGACATTATTTTTTTCTCTCTCGGAATGTTTTGTAAATTATCTTCAGGACAAAAAAAGTCTCCCTTCGTCACCTGCTGTAAATGACAGAACGTCAATCAGTGCAGGAAAAATATAGATTTAAAACTATCCTCTTATTTCATTTTGAAAATTTATTTCCTTCTTTACCTTCAAAATCCAATTACACTTTCGAGCCTTCGGAATCTGGCCGCCGTGGTGATCGGACGTGCCTCGCCTCCTCTCCGCCGCAGCCCGCGACTCAGCCCACCGTGCCCTCTCGTGGTCCCGCAGTGACGGTGGGTAATCAGACCCCCCCCGGGTTCGAGGGGGCAGGGCTCCCTGGTGTTTCTTCTCGGGCAGCTAGCTCTTATCCCAGCGTGAAAGGGCACCCTTAGTCCAGGGGTAATCGTGTCCCTCACTGTGCGGACCTTGGCCCTAGGATATGGGCCCCCGGCAGCATGGGCCAGAGCTGCCTCCCCGCCCACGAGGATGGGCACCCCCATGGCAGGCAGGGTCAAGCTGCCCCCCGTCCCAGGTGAGGGGCCCCCTTAGCAGTAACCACACCAACAGTGACAAGTGTAAACAGTGTAAATCAGTTTGAAAAGGCAATCTATCAATTCCGCAGCGTAACAATAATGCAGAACGCAATTCTGTGTATTCGCTGCGACAATGTCTTGGGGCAAGGTCAGTCATCTGTGATCAAATCAGAAAATATTACAGGTCGGCTGAAATCGAACAAGCCCGGAACATTGCAATCAGTTGATCCGACTCCAGAAAACCCGGGAGCACGACGCGGGACACCAAAACGGAAGGCAAACATTATCGGCGCACACGATGATTGAGCTGTGTGTCGATAATCAAAACGTACTGTTCGCAACGAACACGGAACTCCTCCAACAGACTGGTCACCACCGAAGAAATCGGTTTTTCTACTACTTTTGTTATATTTCCAGAAGAAACACAGACCTGTAATGGGCCCTCCTTCACGGATCAAAATCTGGTCGAGAACAAAATCGACTTGCTAATCGGAATGTTCTCCCAACAGCAATCGCCTCTCAATAAATCCTAGAGCAAAAACAAGTAGAGAGGATGCAAAGGTCAACAACAAGAGCCGATCCCCCCCCCCCCTCCTCCATCCCCACCGCCTCCCCAAGCCAACTGAGAGCCCACCCGCTGTAAGACCCAAAAACCAAACGCCAAAGAAGACCAAGGTTGAAGCTTCTACCAAGAAACACCTAAACGGAGGTTTTAAGAAGAAGGAAAAAAAAAACGAAACAGGAATAACAAGCAAACAACTCGACCCCAACCGCCACTGGGAGGAAACAGCTCAGCAGCAGGTGCAAGGGGCCACCGCCCACCACTGCCCCCTCCTCCAGCAGCACCACCAGTCATCATAAACAACTAAGCAGAACGAGAAAAGCCCGCACAAGATGTCGACGAAGACGGTTACACCAAAGTCAAATCAAGAAACCAGAGAAAAGAGATAGAAATACACCAAACGCCAAAGCCATTAAAGGGAGCAGATCGTCCGACACAGTCTACCTTCACATCACCATTCTCCCCAGACACACACGGAGAGGACGTAGAACAACACGTACCTGAAGTTTCAAAACATTTCGCGACACAAAGCCCACAGGACAGGGATGAAAAACGACTACTGCACCAGCTTCCCGTGTCAGTACCGAACCGAACCATTCACAGACTCGGACGCTTTTCCCGACAACGTAAACTTGTTCCAAAACAAAAACAAGTACACGCGCGATCAGAATGTTTGACGAGGCAACGCCGTCAGCGTTACCAGTGACTGGATCATGTCATAAAAATAGAGCACACAAACCATGTCTCTCCTCTGAAGAAATTAAAATAAACATTTCAAGAGAGAAACACAACATATCAACCAGAATGAAACATGGCTCCACAGGTGATACTAATTTCATCAATATTCCAAATTTTAAAGTTTACAGACGTGGCGCAGGGGCGGAGGATGGGTATATGTGTACGGGATACCTGAAGTCAAACAGAATGTCTGGGTTACCGTACAAAGCAACATTCCTTCATATACTGAGCTGTCTATAGGCACACCCATGTTACCTTGGAATTTTGTGAATACCTTGAAAAGGTTTTTAGGGAAATGTCTTTAAAAAAGAAACCGCTTTTCATCTTCAGTGACCTAAATAATAACTAACAAATTCAAATACTAAGTTTGATAAGTTTTTTGCTTAACAAAAAAACACGACAGAAGTGATGTACAAGTCCTATACAGAGCACAAAGCATTTTAAAGGCCTTTTTAAAAATTGGAAAACTAACTTATGAACAAACAACTGCTTCTACATTACAACTAAAACATAGATCGGCAACGACAAATGGAAATACGTGACCCCCAAGTTATGGAACATGAATATACCAGATAATATAAGAAACATTACAAGCTTCTGTAATTTTAAGAACGAAATTAAAAGAACACCTCAAATAATCAACTGTAAATATAAATGTATTTAAAGAATAATCACTGTAATCAATGGAATAAAGCGTCTGGACTTTGACTTCTCTTCTCTATTTTTCCACTTCGCGAATCCCTGAACACGGGCGCAGCACCCGACCTCCTTATACGGTCGGGTGCTGTGAAGTAATAAAGGAAGTAATTCAACCCGATTTCTCGTAAGCTTTCAACGCAAATTCCTCTCTTTCCTTTGCTTAATTTCTTCCCTTTTTCCCTTCCCTTTGATCCCTTTTTAATTTCGCCGACTTCAATCCGCCATCGCAGGACCCCCCCCTCCCCCCCTCCCCTCGCCCCCCAAAGGTAAGACAAGGCCTTTGCACCACCCTGAGCCAGCGGCCTGGACCCCCGTTGCCCCCTTATTGACCTCGTGCCTCTAGACGCAATCCCGTTGCTATAGTGATGCCCTCCTCGTGGAGAAGCAGCCTTCGAGGGGATGCGCTGTTGACATCTCTCTTGATGTGTGTTATATTGGCGACGCCCTCGACGGGGTTCCGTTCGGTTGAGATGCCTCTCGACACGGAAATCTGTTGACTTCTTGCTTGTGGAAGGAGACGAGTTGCTATGGCGATGTGTACTGGAGCTAACACGCCCCTACGTAACAACGGGAGGGAGGGAGGGAGGGATATAGAGAGAGAGAGAAACAGAGAGGGAATGGGAGAGGGAGGAGGAGGGATAGAGAGAGAAACAGAGAGGGAATGAGAGAGGGAATGGGAGAGGAGGGAGGGAGGGAGGGAGGGAGGGAGGAGGGAGGAGGAGAGAGGGGAGAAGAGAGGAGAGAGAGAGAGAAGAGAGAGAGAGAGAGAGAGAGAGAGAGAGAGAGAGAGAGAGAGAGAGAGAGAGAGAGAGAGAGAGAAGAAGAGAGAGAGAGAGAGAGAGACAGACAGAGAGAGAGAGAGGGGGGGTGCACTCTACACCTCAATGTCAAGGCAATGCCAGCGAAAGGACAGCCTGAACGAAGCCCTGGCGAGAAAGGGCTGATCGTCCCGCTTTGTTACGCGTCTGAAATTCAACAGATTCCTGTCCGCGGTTTCTTGGAAGCAGCGACGCGGGAGGGCAAAGGGGGGAAGGGAAGAGGGCAAAGGGGGGAAGGAAAAGAGGAGCAAAGGGGGTAGGGGGAAGAGGGGGTAAAGAGAGAGATAAGGGAAAGAAAGGGGAGAAGAGGAGGGGAGAGTGGACAAGGATGGGAGGGGATAGAGGTAAGGAGGCACGGAGGGAAGAAGGAGTGAAAGGGAAAGGGGGGCAGGAAATAGGGAGCGAGGAGGGGAGTGGGGGTCAGGGAGAGGGATAGGAAGGGGAGGAGAGAGAAGAAAGAGGGATAGCCGGATGGAAAGAAAAGGGCAGAGGGAAAAGATGAAAAGAGAGATACAGACAGTTACTAACGAGCAGAGCGAGCCATCTCGGGCGGGGAGGGGGGGCGGGGCTGCTCGTCGGCAATAACACCTAATAATACCACCTTGACATTGGCAGCCTCATCGCCCGTCAGGAGCTGCCTCGTCAGCGCCCCTGTCGGCCCCTCGCCGGCCCCCGCGGCTGACACGAGCTCCTCCTGTTTCGCTTCTCATCTCGACTCCTTTTCTTTATTTCATTCTTATTCTTCTCTGGGACCGAATTTTGACGCTATCTCACCCGGCCGCTCTTCCCGCCACTTCCGAGCAATTTCCGGAAGCGGCGAAGGAAGTCTCTTTCTCCGAGGAAGGCAAATGTCCCTCCTTCCTCCTCCTGGAAGCGGCGGAGGAAGGTCGCGACGCCTGCTCGCGGAAGGCTCAGCTGGCGATGCTTCATTGCTTGCCGGATTCTGTCTCTCTCTTGTCTCAAAGGTATGAATGAGAATGAGTATTTCCAAAATACAAGAGGTTATTTAACTTATTTCGAATACATATTCGTCAAAAAAATACAGTATTCCCGATGGAGATGTATTCGAAACCAGTAAAATACATCTTGTATTGTGAAATATGAATTTTCATTCCTCCTTTCTCTCCGTCTGCCGCAATAAAATACGGGTCATCCTTCTCTCTCTCTCTCTCTCTCTCTCTCTCTCTCTCTCTCTCTCTCTCTCTCTCTCTCTCTCTCTCTCTCTCTCTCTCTTTTCTCCCTCTCCCTCTCCCTTCTCTGGGAAGTCAGGGCATCGTGATGGCAGAGCCGAGCCGCTCCAGGCCTATGCTCTTCGCAAGGATATCGACTGCCGGGTGAGGGAGAAGGGAGAGGGAGGGAGAGAGGAGAGGAGAGGC